CGGGATATTAAATCGAATGTTAAATAAATAAATAAATAAATATGTCTTTATGTTTTGTGGTTGTAAATAGAATTGATTGTACTAAAATCCACCTCTAAGAAAGACTGCTTAGAACTGCAATCTCATATTCTGACCCCAACATACTTACTTGGAGGTCAATTCTGCTGAAATCAATGCGGCTCAGACTGAGAGTTTTGTCTAAACTGCTATCTTCAGATGAAACACCAAACATGTAATATAGGATTGGATTGGACCTCATAAGTATAGCAGTGGTCATGGAGCAGAACTTCTCCCCCTAATAAAGCTTGTTATGTTCTCCATTATAAGCCTATGATAGTCACTTGATCTTTGGGAATAACATGGGGTGCAATATGAAGGTGGAACTCACACAAGTAGAAATGCAAATGGTCATTGCAATGGAAGCTAATACTTGTACTATGAAGCAAACTAGACAATGTGTAATGAGCAAGTTAATACTTTAATCTCCATTTCATGGATGTACAGAAGTGTTTATTCCAGTATGGTTAGTTCACCATCTGATTTCTGTGAATGGATCTAAGACAATAGTTTTGTCTGGAGTGACTCAGGATGAGATTCAAGCAGCTGAGACAAAGGAATGTTAGTATTCTTTAATGGTTGTAACATTTCCTGAACTGATAATTTGCCTGCAGGGGCAGAGTTTCAGATAAATCCTTGAATAATGTGTGTGAGAAATAGCACTTTTGCAATTGGAATGAGCAGAGATGAAGGCAGAGAGAGAAGTGGGTTGGCTGAAAGTAAACTCATGGGAGTCCAGGCTTCTCTCTGGGATCTGAAGAAACCGGCTACCAGCATTATTCCCATTCCTACTTGAATTTTTGTCAATTAAAACAAACAAACAAACTCTGTTACTAATAATTTAAACCTTCAGTTCTGCCTTATCTGAAGGAAACGAAACCCATTAGCACTGTTTCTGAACTTTCATATTGTCCTTGAAAGTAAGTTTTTTAGTCAGTTATGTTGATTCATCAGTCAAAAACCACCAGTCAAGTATGGAGTCTCCTCCTATTTATGCTGATTCACTACCAGTGCCAAATTGCAACCCAGAGTTCTAGTAGAGACAGACCAGTCTACATAATACAAATGAGGGCTTGCTGCCCCCATCTTTCATGTAAGTAAAGACTGATGACTTCATTTTTGGTTTAGTGCTAAGGAAGCCAAACAGCCTGCAGAAAGGTGCTTGTGTAGCTATTTTGAAAAGAATTTCCCCTATACATATAAAGAAATTTTACTGTCATTCCATTATCCCAAGAAAGCTAGATACCAAGAGGAGGACTAGGGTTAAGACAATTATCAGTACCTTCACCAAACTACAGTACTCAGAATTCTTTGGGGGAATCTATGGCCCAAAATTGGTATAAAACAGATGGTGGTTTGGATGCACATAGTTCCCCAATTCCCATCGTATTATCTGAATGGTATTATCACCATTCCATGCCTAACAAGCACAGTATATACTTAGATGGAGTCACATGAAGACTAAAAATCAGAATGCTGAATTTAAAAAAATCAACAGGAAGAAGAGTTTAAGAACCAGCAAGCAAGGACACAATTGCAAGACACACAACATGAACTCCAATAAAAGAATAAAGTACCCCAAAGCACTGTTGATGGATGGTTTCCTCCAAGTTCTGTGCACACATTCTGATTTAACCCTTGAATGCTGAACCAAGACAAATCTGATGTGTTTACCCTGAGTTAGTTGCAAGCCCACCACTTAAGCAGAGAATTGAGGTAATTCACCAGAGATAAGTAAAGATCTATCAGGGAAATGAACATTTACCTCTAGTTTTATGTGGGGATAAAAGACAACTGTCCTGGGGTAAATCACACAACTGTATAATATGCATAACTCCCCTTCCCAGCATAAAAAGGTGGCACTTAATAATGGTGATGGTGAGAATGTCTTTGCTATGAATGTACAAAATATAGACCTCTATCTACAAATATACAATAGGAAATACAATCCTTATACAAACACTTACATGTAAAAAACATGATTTTGTTACTGTATTTTTTATGATTCAGTAAAGCAGTACAAAAGGTCCGGTTGTTTATATTTTTGTTGACAATTACACATGCATAACAGTCACTTAACCTCTTTTCAAGTTTTAACAGTATTAGTTATTACAGTGTTGTAGTTCTGATATTCCAGATATTCAACATTTGACATGATAAGGAACTTCACTTGCTTTATACAGAACAAAATTTGAATCCAGTGGCACCTTTAATACCAAAAAAGGTTTATTTAAGGTATAAGCTTTTGTGTGCACACACACTTCTTCAGATACAATGAAATGGGAATTACCAGTCCATACAGATAAAGGGTGACAGCAGTAAATTAGCATAACAAGCTTTGTTTATATGGTTACCATTTGTTTGGGTTTTTCAGGGGGGAAACATAGTGAAGGAAAGAAATATGTCATGTCAAAAGTGGAGATTGATGGGCATCTGTATCCTTAATTGGGGAATGCTGAGAGTAATTAACGGAGACCCTGCTATTTCACTCCATCTGTCTCCTCTCAAGCATGGAGGTGACCTGTCAGCCAATTGCCCCTCTTCAAAGAAGAAGATGCTGTAAGGGTAGCTTGTTATTCCTGCTTGGTCCTTGAATCTGTTAAAAATCTTCATTATGCTGTATGCTAATTTACTTCATTATGCTGTATATTATTTACTGTCCTCACTTTCTACAAATATATGTATGGACTACTAATTTCCATTTCATTGTATTTGAAGGAAGCATATACCTTGAATAAAACTGTGTTGGGTCTTAAAGGTGCCACTGGACTCAAACTTTGTGCTGCTGCTTCAGACCAGCACAGCTACCCACCTGAATCTTACTTTAGACAGTTATTAAAAAACACTCGCTCTGATTGTAAAGTACCAGCATGTATCCGATCACTTCACTTAGCAAAATCTGAAGCCTTCCTCTAATTTAAGTGGTTCTTCCTCCAGTGGAAAGCCATTTAAATTGATGAGGGCTTTTCAGACAAGAGGTAGGATTCAAATGTTGCTGAACATAGTGGTAGAATACAAGTCACCTTCATTGTGTGGTAACTGAGACACTTTCATAATGAGATCTTATACAGTAAAAGCCACATTATTCAAACTTTGATCCATGGTTTACCTCACAGTTCTTCCCTGGTTCTTATATCCTTGCTTCTGTTAGAAACCAAAATAGCTAGCATAACTATCTAGCACTGTGGATGCTTCCCATATCAGCTAGATCAAGGGTCTTCAATGTGGTGCCTGTGGGCACCAGGGTGCCCGCCAAGTGCCAACACCTTTGATGGCACCCGTCAAGTGTTTTTAAGGAAGTGGATGGAGCCAGGTGGGGCTTTTGTCCAGCAAGGCTTCTGATTGACTATTGGAGATTTGATGGGCTGTACAGATTTTTTAAAATGTTGCTTTGGCAAGGATCTGCACTGTGTTACTTAAATTAAGAAATGGTAATAATTTTGTGGCAGCCTTTTTGTTGTTGCGCCCATCATGCCACGTCAGAGTTCCAAATGTGCCTACAGGCTCACCAAGTTTGAGGACCCTTGAGCTAGATAAATAAAATTATGCTTTACTTCAATTAGAAATGGGCAAGTCCTAACATTTCCAGAGTTACACCCGTTAAAGGGATAATTCAGTGAGGATTTCAGAAGCTGTACACTGAAGGAATGAAGATATTTCAGCATATTACAGCACTGACAACTTTGGTTTGATGTTCCTCAAATACCCAGCACAGAAGAATGTGTGCCGAATGCCCATGGGTAGCTATAAGAATCACAAGAAAAGCATCATCTATTTAAAAAGCACTGAATATGAACATTTGTTCGTTTTATAATATCCTGGTGAGGTAGGTGTTATCCCCATTTTTAAATATGGAGAATCTGAGGCAGAGAGTTCAGCCAAACTGTTCAAGACCACAAAGATTTATTTTCCAAAACTATATAAGAGGTATGATACATTGGACTTTTTAAGTTCCACATTCAAAACTAGAGTACTTCTTTAACATCTCATACAGCATTTATAGAAGTACTGTTCCACAAAGGGAATGCAGCTGAAGGCAAAAATTAGGAGAATGTTAATCAATGCCACAACAGTATTAAACAATGTCCCCAAAACCTGGATCTTTCAATGTAATACTAACTGCTACGAAAGCAGACTGTCAGTCACAGTACTTCAACTACCCCTGGGCCTTAGACATACAAAATCTTCATGTGTACAGGCTATCTGGAGTTCACAGATCTTTCCTAGCCCATTTCTAATTTTTTTATATGCAGAACTGTTTCATGTGATATGCATGCTTTGGCATCACAGGAGTAAGCGTTGGGCTTGCACATTCCCTTTCTCCTTTTCTTACGTGTTCCAATTTTCTCCCTTTCATGACAAACCATAATTTGCTGTTATATGCAAACAGACAAACTACACTTTGCAATTTCCATCTAAACCGGAATCACAAACCATGATTTGATTGCAGCTTATCTGAACTGGAAACACAGTGAGTTTTTAGCCAAGTATGTTTTAAAAAATCCATCCCATATTGCTTGTCTTTAGTCTGGTTGTGTTTAAGACAAAAATTGAATTACCTTAGTAATGAAAACCTACTGCCTAACCTCAAGTAATTATAACAGAAAGCCAAAACAATCCAAATGTTTTGGATGCACAAGTGTGTTGCACCCCTTTAAACCATCATCTTTAAACCAAATTGCCCCCATTTTGAATTAAAAATCCAGTTAAGAGTAAAGTGCATTTGTGATGTACAACCCTAAGAGACATAATAAGCATCTTGTATGTCTTCCACGGATTGGTCACTCTATCCTTATTCCACAGTGGAGCCATCCCTTTTCTTGTTCATCATTCATATAAAGACCTATGTTGAGAAGATCTAGTCAGTTGCATGTATCATTGTGTACTGAGGAATTTCCTATGTATAAAACTATACTAGTAGTGAAAGGCTGGGAGATCCAACATCAAGACAATGTCCAGTTAGGATGTGTAAATATTATAGTGTGCTTCTTAGCCCACTCAGCAAATACTTTCTTTTCTGTAATAAACCTATGGCCTCCATAGGGTGCATTTTCATGTAGAAAGTACTCATCACATTCATCTCTTCCTGGTTCATAGTAGTGATAAGGGACCTTTCGAAAGCCCTCTGACCTAGAATGAAGATAAAACACAAATGTTCATAAAATAAATTTTCTGTACCATCTGAATGAATCTGTTGCTTGGTTTACATATGAAACACAGTAAAAGCTACTGGGGAAAAATCTTATTATGCAGAATAATCCAACGAACAGTCAAAAAACAAATTGCTGAGCATAAACCAATAAACATTTTAAAATAGTACAGTAAAAGTTGTATGTTATTCAGACAATCTATTAACTGGCATTTGTTAACAGATTGCAACACATATCCTTCATCAGTTAACCAGAAAAATCGCAACAGCCATCCTGCCTGCAGAAATTAAGTCTGTAAAATTGCAGCTAGCCATATGTCCAGGGCTGAAGACCTGTTCATACACTTACCAGTCACCAAAGGGAGGAGAAAGGAAGCCCTGTCAGCCAGCTCACAGCCACTGACCTACGCCTTCACTTAGTGCTTCAGCTCCTGCTGAAGGTGAGCAACAAGCTGGATGTTTACTGGTACCACAGCTTGTGGTGAGAGTGGCTGTGAACCGGGCACCCTTTAGATTTATTTATTTATTTTTGTAATTTTTATCCTGCCCTCCCTGCAAGCAAGCTCAAGGAGGCGCACAACCAATGTTCCCTCTAAGCTCCACAGTGTTGAGAGCAAAAAAGCTAGTTATGTTAAAGTTGTGAGCAAGTGTATATTTGTCTATTGCATAAATTGTTTTTAGAAGATGTATTTAGAAGATTCCCCATGGACAGTATCAAAAGGCTAAAATATATGACGCCGGAAGATGAGCCCCTCAGGTCGGAAGGTGTCCAATATGCTACTGAGGAAGAGCAGAGAGCAAGTACAAGTAACCCCAGAAAGAGTGAAGCGGCTGGGCCAAAGCCGAAAGGACGCTCAGTTGTGGATGTGTCTGATGGTGAAAGGAAAGTCCGATGTTGCAAAGAACAATACTGCATAGGAACCTGGAATGTAAGATGAATCAAGGTAAGCTTGACGTGGTCAAAAATGAGATGGCAAGACTGAATATCGATATCTTAGGAATCAGTGAACTTAAGTGGACAGGAATGGGCGAATTTAACTCAGAAGACCATTATATCTACTACTGTGGCCAGGAATCTCGTAGAAAAAATGGTGTGGCCTTTATAGTCAACAAGAGAGTGCAAAAGGCAGTACTGGGATACAATCTCAAAAATGACAGAATGATTTCTGTCCGATTCCAAGGCAAACCATTCAACATCACAGTAATCCAAGTCTATGCCCCAACCACTGATGCGGAAGAGGCTGAAGTGGACCGGTTCTATGAAGACCTACAACACCTCCTAGAACTAACATCAAAAAATGATGTCCTCATAATCATAGGGGACTGGAATGCTAAAGTAGGAAGTCAAAAGGTAACCGGAATAACAGACAAGTTTGGCCTTGGAAAGCAAAATGAAGCAAGACAAAGGTTAACAGAGTTTTGTCAAGAGAACACACTGGTCATAGCGAACACCCTTTTCCAACAACCTAAGAGGCGACTCTACACATGGACATCACCAGATGGGCAACACCGAAATCAGATTGACTATATAATTTGCAGTCAAAGATGGAGAAGCTCTATCCAGTCAGTAAAAACAAGACCTGGAGCTGACTGTGGTTCAGATCATGAGCTACTCATTGCAAAATTCAGACTTAAACTGAAGAAAATTGGGAAAACCACGAGGCCATTCAGGTTTGACCTAGATCGCATCCCTGATGAATATACAGTAGAGGTGAAGAATAGATTCAAGGGTCTGGATTTGATAGATAGAGTGCCTGAAGAACTATGGACGGAGGTTCGTGACATTGTACAGGAGGCAGCAATCACCACCATACCAAAGAAAAAGAAATGCAAGAAAGCAAAATGGCTTTCTGATGAGGCTTTACAAATAGCAGAGGAAAGAAGGAAAGCGAAAGGCAAAGGCGAAAAGGAAAGATTTACCCAACTGAACGCAGATTTCCAGAGAACAGCAAGGAGAGATAAGGAGGCCTTCCTGAATGAACAGTGCAAAGTAATAGAAGAAAACAATAGAATGGGAAGGACTAGAGATCTCTTCAAGAAAATTGGAGAAATCAAGGGAGCGTTCCATGCAAAGCTGGCCATGATAAAGGACAAAAACGGTAGGGACCTAACAGAAGCAGAAGAGATTAGGAAAAGATGGCAAGAATACACAGAAGAACTATACAAGAAAGACCTCGATGTCCTTGACAACCACGACGGTATAATCACTGACCTCGAGCCAGACATCCTGGAATGTGAAGTTAAATGGGCCTTAGAAAGCATTACTAACAACAAAGCTAGTGGAGGTGATGGTATCCCAGCTGAGCTATTCAAAGTCTTAGAAGAGGATGCTGTTAAAGTTCTGCACTCCATTTGCCAGCAAATTTGGAAAACGCAACAGTGGCCACAGGATTGGAAAAGATCAGTATACATTCCAATCCCAAAGAAGGGCAATGCCAAGGAATGTTCAAACTATCGCACAATTGCACTCATATCACACGCTAGCAAGGTCATGCTCAAGATCCTACAAGCTAGGCTTCAACAGTACGTGGATAGAGAACTACCAGAAGTACAAGCTGGGTTTCGAAGAGGTAGAGGAACGAGAGATCATATTGCCAACATTCGCTGGATTATGGAGAAAGCAAGAGAGTACCAGAAAAATATCTACTTCTGCTTCATTGACTATGCTAAAGCCTTTGACTGTGTGGATCACAACAAACTATGGCAGGTCCGACAAGGATGTATGTTGTCACCCTGCTTATTAAATTTATATGCAGAGTACATCATACGAAATGGATGAATTAAGATTGCTGGGAAAAACATCAATGACCTCAGAAATGCAGACGATACCACTCTAATGGCAGAAAGTGAAGAGGACCTAAAGAGCCTTTTCCTGAGGGTGAAAGGGGAGAGTGCAAAAGTTGGCTTGAAACTCATTAAAAAAACCTAAGATCATGGCATCCGGCCCCATCACTCTTTGGAAAATAGAAGGGGAAGTCATGGAAGCAGTGACAGACTTCATGTTCCTGGGATCCAAGATCACTGCAGATGGTGACTGCAGCCATGAAATTAAAAGACACCTGTTCCTTGGAAGGAAAGCTATGGCAAACCTAGACAGCATAATAAAAAGTACCAACAAAAGTCCATATAGTCGAACTACCAATAAAAGTCCGTATAGTCAAAGTGATGGTATTCCCAGTAGTAATGTATGGCTGTGAGAGGTGGACTATAAGGAAGGCTGAGCACCAAAGAATAGATGCTTTTGAATTATGGTGCTGGAGAAGACTCTTGAGAGTCCCTTGGACTGCAAGGAGATCAAATCAGTCAATCCTAAAGGAAATCAAATCTGACTGTTCCCTGGAAGGACAGATACTGAAACTGAAGCTCAAATACTTTGGCCACCAAATGAGAAGGGAGCACTCACTGGAGAAGACCCTGATGTTGGGAAAGATTGAAGGTAACAGAAGAAGGGGACAGCAAAGGATGAGATGGTTAGACAATGTTATTGATGCAATGAACATGAAGTTGAGTACACTCCGAGAGATGGCAGAGGACAGGAGGGCCCGGCGTTATGTGGTCCATGGGGTCGCAAAGAGTCAGATGTGACTGAACAACAACATGGCTCATGGTGGCTTGGCCATTCCAATTCAGTTCCATTCCATTGTATGCCAAGCTCATGCCAGGAGGGTGGTGGATCAGTCTGATGGATCAAGCAACAGCGCCATATGGTGCTTGAGTAGGGGAGGTCAATATTATTTGACATTTGTCACCTCAACTAAAGGCCTGGTGGAACAGCTCCATTTTATAGGCCCTGCGGAAGTGCAGCAGATTCCACAGGGCCCTGGGCCGAAAAGCCCTGGCCCAGGTTGAGGCAAGGTGGACGTCTTTCAGGCTGGGGACTACTAAGCAATGCTAATCTGAAGAGCACAAGGCTCTTAGGGGTACATATGGGAAGAGATGGTCCCACAAGTATGCTGGTCCCTTGCCACATAGGACCTTAAAGGTTAATAAAAGGTAAAGGTTCCCTTGCTCGAAAGCCAGTCGAATCCGACTCTAGGGTTGCGATGCTCATCTCCGTTTCAAAGCCGAAGAGCCAGCGCTGTCCGAAGACGTTTCCGTGGTCATGTGGCCGGCATGACTAAACACCAAGGTGCACGGAACGCTGTTACCTTCCCACCGAAGTGGTACCTATTTATCTACTTGCAATTTCTTGCTTTCGAACTGCTAGGTTGGCAGGTTAATACCATAACCTGGTGTAGCACTGGCTGAATGTGTGCCCGCACAGACGTCCCAGTCAGCAGGCACACCGCTGCATTTTGTACCAACTGAAGCTTCTGGATCAGGTTCAGGAGTAAACCCACAGAGAGCGAGTTGCAGTAATCAATCCTGGAAGTGACCGTTGCGTGGATCACTGTCACAAGGTCATGGGAGAAAAGGTGGGGAGCCAGCTGCCTGACCAGCCAAAGATGGTAAAAGGCTGATCTGGCAACATTAGTGATCTGGGCCTCCATAGAAACGGAGGCATTTGGGATCACTCCCAAACTTTCCACCAAGGGCTGGGAGTTGGATTCCCGCACCTGGAACTCCATGACTTAGAAAGAGGACCTCTGTCTTAGCTGGGTTAAGTTTTAGCTGGCTCTGTTGTAACCAGTCAGCCACAGCCTCCAAATCCCTAGCAAAAATATCCGGGGCGGAGTCTGTCCATCTGTAACAGATACAGCTGGGTGTCATCAGTGTACTGGTGGCACCCCAGCCCAACCCCCCAGATTAGCTGGATGAGGCGGCACATATAGATATTAAATAACTTTGGGGAGAGGATCACCCCTTGCAGGACTCCACATACCATAGGGTAACGTGGTGAAACCGTCTCCCCCAGCACCACCTTCTGTCCCTGATCATGGATAAACAAGGACAGCCACTGCAAGGCAGTTCCCCATATCCCTGTGTCAACGAGGGAGATGAGCTGTGAGCACAGCTTGTCAGCCCCACTTTCCTCCAATAT